GTGTGGTGCCATTATCCTTTTTAGAACAGGCACTGGGACATTGTGGCTGGGCAATGGGGTGTCAGCAACAGCTGACACTTACTCCAGTACTGGCAATTTCCTACACTGCCTAGGACCTTCTGTGGTATCCCAACACACCCTCCAGATGCCCCTCCCCACTATTATGATGAATGTGTTCATTGTCCTTTTGTGTTCTTGGGTTTCACATAGGGTTATGCTAGATCACTCGGCATATCTTGGTATCTTTGACCCTTTAACAGAAAGAGTCAGGCCCCTAGTCCTTTCCTCTAAGTCTTCTGCCTCTTTGTAGATTAATGGTTGCAAAATGAACATGGGGGAAAGGCAGCACCCAGTACCTTCAGTGGCTGAAATGAAGATGAATCTGTTGATGGATGATACCATCTATTGAGAGTGACATCTATCTCCTCCACCATTAGTGTCCAGGACTCAAAATCTTGCTGTGCCTTACACGAGAGGATAACGAAAGAATTTGAGTTAGATCCATATGGTGACTGAATGCTACATGTGGTACTATTTACTTGCAGGTAACTACTTCTGCTCTCAAGAATTCTCTGGATTCCATTAGTTCTCTTTCTGCATTGAAAGCATCTGGAATTGCCACGAGACTTTTATCAGGTGATATGATCTTAGAGGGATTCTCTCCAAAGCACTGGCATGATAGTTGGACTCATCTCTCTCCCAACCCCAGGGTGAAGTGACATTTCCTCCTGGAACATTCACTCATTATCTCCTTAGGCATGGACTTGCTGCTCTGAGAAAAAAAATTCAGGTTTGCAGATTTCAACAGCATCTTGTCCAATGTTTCTGAGATAGAACCCTTTCTGATCCTGAGCCTATGTAGGTAACCACACTCCCTGCCTTGCATTCTGAAGTAGTGTCTGCCAGAGCCTGTTCCTCAGGATTGGAGGTGAACTGCTGGAGAAATGAAATTCTGGGGCCAGAGAGGGGCTAACCCCCAAAGCTGCCAGCTTTAGGAAGGAAAAAACACTCAGCGAGGATAAAACAGTGTTAGTCCACCAGCACCTTTGATAGTTCAGCTTTCCAGAAGTAGTTGCTTCTTGGTGGGGTTTATATGAGGTGCTTAAGGAAGCGCATTTGGGGAAAAAGAACATCTGAATCCAGAATGGAGGCTGGTGAATGATAGATACTGGCACAAGGGCATTGATGATAGAACTTTAACATCGAATGCTGTATGGAATCTTAAAACACAGTCTAATAGAAAGCTAACTTTGGGCTTCTGGGATAGCAAGGATGTGCTGTGGAAGAGATGGCTGATATCATTTTTTTTTGTTTTTGCAAATAAAATCATATTTAAAATGCTCTAGAGATATAAAGAGTTTCTGTGGGGAATCCTTTCATAATGAAAAGAACATTTACCAAATGTAAACACTGACCTCTAATTTATTAACTCATACTTTCTAGTCAAATTTTATTAAGGCATAGTTTACACATAGTAAAAGGCATCCACTTAAAGTGCACAATTCAATTGATCTAAAGTGTGCAATTGGCTGTGCTGTGGCATTAGTGCATACCCATGAAATCACTGCCACAATTAAGATAAAGAATATTTTCATTGTCCCAGAACATTTCCTTCTGATCCTTTGAAGTGCTTCTCCTCTTCTGTCCCTAACCTCAGGCAACTGCTGATCTGCTCTTTGTCACAGTGGACTTGTTTACATTTTGTAGAATTTTATACAAACAGAATCACGCAGTATAGACTCTTCTGTGGCTGGCTTCCTTCATTCAGCATAATGGTTTTAAGATTCATCCATGTGGTTGCACGTATTGATTGGATACTAACAAATACCTCATTGCTTTTTCATTTTGTTTTGATTAGTAATATTCTACAATATGGATATAAGACTTTTGTTTATTAATACATATGGATGAATGCTTGGGCTTACAGTTTTTAGTTATTATAAACAGTACTGTATTCATGTACAAGTCTTTGTATGGACCTTTATTTTCATTTCTTTTGGGTGAATACCTAGGAATGGACTGAAGGTATATTTTTCTTAGGAGACTGACACATTGGTCCTCTGAGTGGTGGTGCCAGTGTGCATTCAGTGGAGTGGGAGAGTTCCGGTTGCTCCATATCCATGACAACACCATTTGGCATTGTTAGCAAACATGCATTTTCTTAAAGTGTAAATTCATGTTGCAAATGTGTATAACTATGTATATCACAAATAATCATGGAGAATTTTGGGGTTTTAATGACTGAAGAAGTTTTTGGATCTCTCCTTTCCTTTTCCTCTCTTATATCAGAAATGACAATTCACATTCTTTATGTTACTATGGGACCCTTTAACCCATAATAAAAGGGTTAACAAAAGAAACCACTTTTAGTACCTTGATAGGAAAGTTCCAGGTGTTAACATATTTGGATTACAACTGAAGAGGAAAAAATGTCATTAAAAATTATATGTGAGAGAGGGAAACTAGGTTAGAATGTGGTGATTTCACATCTTTCTAATTATATAAGTTCACTTTGCTCTTCTTAAACCATGTATTCACTTATAGATTTCCGAGACTGGCAACTGAGTTGGGCCATGCCACCCTCGCTAACCTTTAGGATGCTCTTCTTCAATTGTTCGTGCTCTACCGTTACTCTTGTCACATTAATGTTAACTTGGGTCTTCTAGGAGTCCAAGGATCATGAGAGGAAGCTGCAACCATTGCTAATTCTCTTCCTTGCCTTGAGGTCCTGTTGCTCTCCGTTCCTGCCTGTACCATGCAGCTACCAGCACACAAAGCTGCTGGAGTGGAGTAAAGCAGGGGGTGTCCTAAATGAGTAGGAAGAAGATGTAGGTGGGGTGGTCAGGAATTACTGGGTGGCCACAGCAAAAGCACTGGGAAGTCATGAGCTCAATGAGAGCTGGTGTTTAAGGTTGTGTGAAGACCCAATAGTGAATATGCAAAAGTGAAAGAGGAGAGAAGAGGGAGAAGAGAAAAAAAAAAAAGCATTTATGACCAAGGAAAAGGGCTTTTCAAAAATACAAAAATGATATATAACAAGGTTTCCCATTTTTAGAGTAAAATTAGAAGATACAAACTTGTATGATTTTCGTTGTAATTGTCCCCAACAATCCATGTGGTAAAGACGGTCCCTAGCTTGGCTCCACTTGGAGGTGGAGGAACCTTTCAGATGTGAGGCCTAGTGGGAAGTCTGGGCACTGGGGACATGCCCTATAAGGAGACAATGGGGTCTCATCCTCTTCCTCATTTTCTCTTCCATGTCTTAGTTATGAGGTGAACAATTTTGCTCTGCCACACACTTCTGTCATATGTTGCCTCATCACAGGCCCCAAAACAATGGGGTCAATATGTCATAGACTGCAACCTCTGAAATCATGAACCAAAATAACCTTTTTCTTGTTATTAAGTGGAGGAATCTCAGGTATTTATTACAGTAAAGGAAAGATGACTAACACACTAGCTAGTGACTTCTGCATGCTACTGTATCAGCATTTTGGTAGGGGGAGTAGCAGCACCATAGGAATGTGGTACCTGAATGTGTTGGCTCCCGTAAACACATCCTTACCTAAATCCTATCCTATGTAGCAAAGAGGCTGGGGAAGGGGAGAAGAAGCCCTGGTGTGAGATCAGATGCCTGACTCTGCTGCTTCCTGATCTCAGTTTCTCTGAGTCTGTGTTCCTTATCTGTAACACAGTAGCGACACACCTTTATCAAGGGCTGCTGTGAAGATCACAATGAAACAAATGAGAGCCTGGTGCTATATAAGCTTTTTGTTCACAATATTTTCATCTTTTCAGTTTTGAAATTCATGAAAGTTCAGTTCTGTCATATGTCTTCAAGGGCATTATTGGAAAATAGGCTGAAAAAAATCCTTCTGTATGTCTTTTATTTCTCTTGTTCTGTAGCTACTCTGATACTGGAAGACAGCACTTGAAGGAGAAAGATCGTTGTTCACAAAAGGTTAATTCTTAGTTACCCTCATTGCAGATTTCAGACTATCTGGCCTCACAGAATTGCACCAAAGCTGGTCTTCCCTCTTGAAGAGTCTCCGTGTTCTTTCTCCAGTAAACCCTGTGATGAGTTTTGTTAACAAGATGCCTGAGGTTTCCATGCCTACCCGCCCTGTTTTCCCAACTGGCTGCTCTTAGGCTGGCAAGAGGGAACTGACTTAAGTCCAGAAACATTTAAACGTCTTGAAAGATTAAATGGCCATGAGGTCTCCCAAGATCCTCTGCAGTGCTCTTTGTGAAGGTCAGGTTCATGTGTTCATTACGATATGATGATTTTTCTGAATTCTCTATCTGAAATGTAACATCCATCAGGAATTGTTCTACAGCTGCCAGCAAAAAGTTCTGTTTTCCTACCACCTCTCCCTGTAATGCTTTGATCTCCAGCTGCTTTTGGTGTGACTCTGGTTTTCAGAACTTTACCTGTTCTGGTGAACATGTGATCTTTGAGCAACCATGACCATGCTTCCCATGGCGCTTAACACTCAAGGCTAAAAATAGCAAGATGAAGCCTGGAGCATTCTCCAAGGAAATAAAATTGAATAACGTAACTGGATTATTCTTGGTTATCTCACAGATATCCGTGTGACCAGACGTCTACAAACGGTGGTGAGATCATTTCTAGTCGCCTTTTTATCTGTTAACTGCTGGCTTCTGAAAGATTCTTGAGGGTTTTTTTTCCCATGTGCCAAACACAGCCAGTGGTATTGATACTTTGCATATTGGATTGTCATCATGACTTTTACCAGGAACTTTGTATGGTTCATTTCTCTTTCTTTCCCCATTCCAGGCTTTTATGTTTTGGGGGAGGGAAGCTCTACTTTTTCAGAGTGGTTGCTAAGAAAGAATCTTCTCTGTTTATAGGCTGCTAACAAATCCTAGGAGCTGAAAGACAAATATGGTGCTGTATTTGCAGAGAAGGAATGGAAGGAGGCCAGCAATTAGCAGCCTCCAGCACAAACACTCACAATGTGGCCTTTGAGAACGGTGGCTGGTGTTATGCTGATGACTTGAAACAATTCAAAAAGGTGTTTGCCTCAAGCTTTCACTGGCAAATTTATTTGCAGAAACCAGCCAGGGCTGTAGAACTTGATAGGATTGTAAAGCAGTGCAGTCTTTTTTTGGATCTCAAAGAAGCTTTTGCTTTACAGGAGCCAAGCTTCAGTGTGATTTGTATCCATTTTCAAAACAAGGCTCTTTGACCTTTGGGTCAGAGGCTGGGATGTCACGAACTAATAAAGGGAAGCTGGGGTAGGTATATCTCTGTTTATTTTTGAGAATTTATTCTTTTGCTGTTGCCTTAGAGCAGGAGGAGGTGGTGGCTGGGTTGGAGTTTAGTTTTTTTAGCACTCTACCATTTGAGTCATCCCCCCCTACTCTGCCATTTTGTTTGTGTGTTGTTTTGGAGATAGGCTCGCCCCATCTTTTCCCTGGCTGGCCTTGAGCGCAACCTCCTCCTGTCTGCTCCTCCAGAGTAGCTGGGATTACAGGTGTGTTATACCATGCCTGGGTTAGAAAATTTTATGCAAAAAAAGAGAAAATGGTGTCCTATTCAACACAAATGTATAAGTGGGTGCTATGGCCAGAGTTCATGTGCTGGAACTTAATCCCTAGTGGAAGAGTGTTGGGAGGTGGGACCTTTAAGAGGTTATTAGGTCACTAGGGATCTGTCCTTGTGAGTGGATTAATCATGGTGAGAGTGGGTTACTCAGCACAGGAGTGGACTCCTGATAAAAGAGTGAATTCGGCTTCCCCAGTTCATTCTCTCCTGCTCTTTTGATCTTCCACCGTCTGCTATGGGATGGGAGCAAGAAGGCCCTCACCAGATCTGGTTTTTTTTTTTTAAATAGATCACACTGTCTCAGGTATGCTGGTATAGTAGCAGAAAACTGACTAAGAGCGTGAGTATTTAGGTTCTTCATTTCATAATTTCAGTATAAAAACTGGTTTCCTGGACCAAAATAGAGGGTTCTCAAATGCTGCTTATTTAAGCAGGTCTATGGGAGTGAAGCGAGCATCTTGTCTTCAGTCGGGAGACAGTAGACATAGTCAGAATAGCAATGGGTGTTGTCTGTGATGATGCTGATGGATGATGAACAGACAACCAACTCAGTGTCAGGCACTCTTCAAAGCAATCTTAACAGGGATAGCAACTCATTTGCTCTTCCATGTGGCACTGTCAGGTACTGTTATTACCCTGATTTAAAATGAAATAAAGGACATATGTAACTTGTCCAAATACACAGTAAATGTTAGAGCTGTGACCTGAATCCAGGTGGTTTAGTTCAGATCTATTTATCAAGCACCAAAGGAGGCTGATTATCTTGGTGTCTCAAAGCCTCATCATTTCTTCCCCATTTTTTTTTATCAACAACACTTCTGGTTCTGGGGAGGCTACTTTTTTTTTTTTTTTTTTTTACAAAGCCTACAAACAAAATTTATTCTTGCATTGACATTGAATTGCATAAGAACTCAGAATCCAAATTCTGTAAATAAAATTGTTGCCATCCTAAACTCTTTGAAAGTAATGGAGCTAGTTAAGTTTCAAAAGAAATTTTTTGTTCAAACCCTAGTCCCTCCCCCATTTTTTTCTGGTGGGGTTTGGACTCAGGGCTTCATTCTTGCTAGAGGTACTCTAACACTTGAGCCACACCTGGGGAGACTACTTGCCTTGAAAAGATTTTTTTCACTGTCTTGGTAGAGAAGAAAACCTTGATTGCCTTTTTTTCTTTTCCCCCAAGACTTCTTAAGAAATGCCTCTTTGCATAGACTTCTGGAGTGACTTTGGCAGAAACACATGGAGCTTTTGATGTGTAAAGGTCAGTGAAAGATTTAATACTATTTTTTTTCAACACAGTACAAAATCTGGAACTTCCCAATGCAGTACCAGCATTCCAAATGTCCCTTTTGTAATCCTGAAGTGCCTGGATTGATTCTTTACTTCTAGTTCCAAAGTATGTTGGAATCAGTCTATGTGCAAAAGGTGGAAAACAAGAGAATAACTGGCCATCAGCGTAGAAATATTTGGGTTCCTATTGGACTAGTTTCAGTCCTATCGTGGAGCTGAGATTTATCCATGATAACAGAGAGCTGTGTAAGCAGGGTTTGTTGTTGTCTTCGAAATGCAATGTACACTCCTTGTTGGCAAGGTCCCTCCTTGCCTTTTCATCCTTTGACAGATGATTTTGCAAATGTGATTCCCCGTCAGTAATTCCTTCATATATTCTTCTTCACCTAGAAACTTCTAGTGTAAATTCTTCCTTTTACCAACATAGGTGATGAAACAATGCCTTACATGCTTATTCAGAAACAAGTTAGGAGAGCAGAGGACTAGTACAACATAAATTTCCATAAACAGAAGACTATTTAAAACCAGAGGCTGTGTAGAGACTTACTTTTTATTTTATATTTACTGGTGCTTATGATTATTTTATAAAACGTGTGTTATTATTTTAGGATAGAAACTTAGTTAATTATAAGTACCAAGAACTTCAATTATGTCTTAATATTTATTGAGCATTTGTATGGCAAGGATCTGGTGCAGTCTTGGGAAGTTCTTTACATGAGGAGTGGGGTTTATAACACATACAGTGAGTTGTAGCTCAAGCCAACACACACAGGAGTGGGGACAAGAGGGTGGGTAAATGGTTCATAGAGGAGATAATATTTTAGCTAAATTTCGAAGGCCTCATTCATTCATTCCCAAGACATTGCTGAATGTGTACTATATGCCAGGCACTGTGACAGGTGTAGGGTACACAGTGATGAAAAGAAAGGCCCAGGCTCACCCTCGGAGTGGACTCAGAGGTGCTGAGAGGGACACGAACTGGCAAGGCCTACAGTTGGTATGAGCAGATAGCCATGGGTAGTAATCTTGATGACTGGAGGTTGTGTCAGGCTCAGATGTCACAGCAGGGGATGCCATCATTTGCTATGAGTCCGTCAGGACCAATTGTACCTGAGGGATACTGATCCAGAGAACAGAGTTATCAGCCCAACACTCTGCAGAGGCCAGCAGAGAAGACAGGCCACCTTTCCACCATTGCAGGAGGTTTCCCCAGGCCCCCAAGTCAACTGATGAAGGAAGACAGAAGGTGTGAAAGGAGCTGTTAGTGAGTGCACTTTGAGTTTAGAGTGTGTTTGCCAAAATTATGTCTTCTTGAACTGGAAAAATCTGAAGTGATATTGACTGTTAAACTTGAGCTAAAGTAAATTTTTACTGCCACCCAACTTGATGGGAGCTCATGGGGCAATTTAGTTGGCACCTACTGCATGATTTTGTTTTGATGAAATATCTGAAGTAGTCAAATTTCTAGAGACAGAAAGTAGATTAGTGTTCGCCAAAGCCTGGGTTAAATTGGGAGTGACTGCTATGGACTTGGGGTTTCTTGGGGTGGTACAAGTGAAATAAATTAGATAATGGTGATGGTCACTCAACTCCATGAACATACTAAAACGCACTCAATTATATACTTTAAAGGAATGTGGCTTGTGAATTATATCTCAATAAAAATACAAAACAAGATTAGACTGTTAAAGAAAATAAGGAAGCTATTATTCCCTAGCATATCTGAGTAGTATGAATAAATTCTACTATATCTGACAACTGTTACTCAAGCATCGATTTTCTAATTATTTCTACTAAAACAATAAACCTCATGAAAAACTTAACGGTATCAGAATTTACTTCAGGCACCACTTGCAGGTATATTTTTATGGTATTGGTGTTGGAACTCAGGGCCTTGCACAGCACTCTAGCACATGATCCTTGCCTCCAGTGCTTTTGTTTTTAGGTTGTTTTTCAGATGGGGTCTTGCGTTAACTTTGCTCAGGCTGGCCTTGGTCCTCCATCCTTCTGTCTCTACCTCCCCTGTAACTGGGACCACAGGCATGTGCTGCTATGCCTGGCTTGTTTTTAAGAAAGAGTCTTTCTCACTTTGCCCGGGATCCTCCTGTCTCCACCTCCTAGTGGCTGGGATTATAGTTGCGTCCTACCACACCTGACCCAAGTTCTTAGAAACTATGCAAAAATAAAACAGTGTACATGTCGGAGGCTTAGAAAGTTCATGTGAGATGACGTGTAAATCCAAATGCTCTGTCCATATGCTACTGTTTGGTGTTTTTCATGCTTTGAATTTAGAAATGATAAACTTTAAATGCTAAGTCAGAGCACTTGTTAAAAACATACACATTGTATTTTCTAAAGCCATTAAATACACTGAGCCACTACACATTTGTAAATTTTTAAAAAGTTTCCTTCTTTACTTTTAGGTCTGTATGTTGTTATAATAGAAAACTTGTATGTGAAAATAAATCACTGTCATTCTGTGTTAAAAGCAAGACCGAAAGTGGGCTTTTTCTTTTACTTTGTTTAAAAACAAATCTTTCCTGGCTGGAAGCCTGGTGGTCACCACCGCATCCCTCATTTCCTTCACTCCCCACCAGAGGCCAAATCGTGCTCAGTTTACCTTTGAAACGCCTCTCACCTGGATTCCCCTGGCCACTCCCGATGCAGATGACTAGTGCCCCACACCTGCACCACTATGGTGGCCCTGGCTTCTTCATGGCCAACTTGCTCTTCCCCAAGCCCCCAGTCACCTTCCTAAAGCTCCCTGCTGCCCGGCTTCTTCCCAGCACCTGCTCACCAGGCTTGACTCTGGCTAGATTGCTGAGTTATTTTCTTTACAAAGTTCTATTATTTCCAACATTTGTTCTTTTCTTAATTCTATTTGATCTCAGTAAACCAGGGAGTTTATGATTTTTTTAAAAATGATTTTTAAAAAGAGTCATCTTTTTGTTGAAGCTTCTTGATCATTTATTGCTCACTTTTCCTGTCAAGTGAGAGCTCACTTTGTTAGCTGCCTGAGGTTCTTTCTGGAACAAGATGGTCTGGAAAGGAACTTAGGGCATTGGTGTCTTAGCTCTTCATCTTGGTCTCCTGGAAGTTTTATATCCATAGCAGGAAGTTTGTGCCCATCGTTATTGTCTACATCTGATGCAGCTTCAGTACTTAGAGAAACATCAAGAATTAACAGTGAAAATACCTAAGTGTTAAACATTCTGCTCTGTTACATTTTCTCTACATTTTGCACGAGTTCCTCTTAATTTCCTTTGCTTAGTTTCAGCTTTCTGTAAGTTTAAGTTCAAGGCTGCACTCTCCTTCTCCAGGTGGATCCCAGTTTTAGTGAGTTTACATTTAGGATAACACTTTTTCTTAAATAACTTTATAATGGAGATAAGGTTTCAAAATGTTTTTGTTTGGCCTGAATAAAAAACTTTTGTCTCTTCCTTCTTTATATTCATCTAAATTCTAAATAAATTTTTATGGGGAAAAAATGCCAAAATATATTTAATATTAATTGTTGGTGATACAATAAAAGATGATATAATCTATTGTCTTAAACAAGAATTCCCAAATCTCTTTATCAAACAGCCCACTCAGCACACTGAGCCCTATTTAGAGAACTTTCCTCATAATGCCAAGGACAGACCCTACATACCTGGCTGGCATAGGGAGGAATGAGGTTAGGGTACAGTAGGAGTAAATAAAAGCCTGGCCATCCTCTGGCCTTGGGGGATGGTAGGAAGATGAAGAAACAGAGAGCAAATGAAGAGTGAAGGGCCTCTGGAGGTATACTTTATGGAAATTCACTTCAAGAGCAGTCTGAACCTCAGTCATATCAAAGTGAGTTGGGCAGAACAGTGTAGTCAGGCAGAAAGGGGCCTGGGGTTTAGCTTCCCAGGCTGCTCTCACTCTTTACATGACCTGGATGCAGACTTGGATATCTAGAGGTGCATATGATGGCAAGGTGAGGTGACTGTTTAGCAGAGCTGCTACACTGCTGGGCAGGGTTGGAGAAAGGCCATGGCAGACATTCAGGACTCTGAAGCCTGCAGGGCTAGTGGGAGGCTGAGTCAGCAGGAAATGATAATCTTGACCAAACCAAGGGAGAGCAGATTACCAACTACACCAGGCTCAGATGTCTGCTTTGAAAGCCAGGAGACACCCAGGGGACAAGAGACACAGTCCTGGAGACTAGAAGTAGAGGACATTGTGCCCAAGCACCCAGGTTTGCCACCATGTAGGATGTTAATTTCCCTTCTTAACCATTCATCTGAGAGCTATTGTGGGAAGAAAGCACAGGAGGGAGACTATTCTGGAAGACCATGCATTTTATCCCACTGAGTCATTATTTCCTAATATGAGTGCTGAAATCTTTGGAATGGACAGTTCAAACATTTAGTTAAATGTATATATTGCATATATACATTAAATGTGGTATATATACACACATATTTTCTGTTACATATAAGTTATGATTTCTATAAATTAGAAGGTAGAGATTTGAAAGAGAATAATTAAGAAATTACATATTTTAGGCTTATTTGACTGTGTGTAAATTAAATATTTTACCTTACTACCACTTTTTTCTGATATTAAAAGAAAAAAATCTTAGTTGTAAAAAGTTTGGAAAGTAAAAGTGTTTCTAATAATTGAAGAGATGGCCGTGGTTAACATTTTGTGATTTGTTTTATAACTCTAATTTCAATATATATATGTACTCATTTGGCTGAACCTTGTAAAATTACTGGTATTTTACTGTTTTTGACTTGTAAAACTGGAGATTTCATAAGGTCAACCTAATTCCTTGGTCTAGGCACACACATGCATATACTCACACATACACGCTCATACGCAGACATATAAACATCTCCCTATGTTCTAGGTACAAATGCCCATAAGAAAACATACATCTTCCTTACAGAAATGGGATCATGTTGTTTTGTAACGTTTTTTTCATTTAAAAATGTGTTGTAA